TTGTCGCTTATTCCATGGATATGCAGCTTTCTCTCAAATCGCCGTCAATCGGTAAAGATCGACAATTTCCAATCTGATTGGGGCATCAATAACGCAGGTGTCCCTCAAGGAACCAAATTGGGCCCTATTTTGTTCATAATTATGATCAACAATCTTGAACTGGCATCCTCTAGCACTGACCATTGGAAATACGAGGATGACGTAACAATATCGGAGTCCTTAATGAAAAATGAAGTTTCAGTCCTACAATCTGATCTTAACACAATTGAAAGATGGACTGTTAATAACAACATGAAATTGAACGGAAAGAAATGCAAAGAAATGATAGTGAGTTTCGTCCGTAGCGAGAATGACATCCTCCGACTCCTCATTGATGGTTTACCTCTAGACTTAGTTCCTTCTTTCAAAATTTTGGGCTTAACCATGAACAATAAATTGAAATGGCAAGATAACACTGAAGCGTTAGTTAAAAAAGCCTCAAAACGCTTATACATTATTCGTGTCCTACAGCGCTGTGGTCTTCCCCCCAATGACCTTTTACTAGTCTACTTTTCTATGGTGCGCTCTATCTTAGAATATGCCTGTCCTGTCTGGCACACCATGTTACCAAAGTGTTTGGCGGATAAAATTGAAAAAGTTCAAAAAAGAGCTTTCCGTATTATTTATCCGACAACAGATTACGAAGATGCTCTCAACATCGCTAAATGCAAGCGCCTTGTCGACAGACGTCAAGAGCTATGTGCTAAAACATTCAAAAAGATCTTAAAACCCGATGCTCACCTCAACCACCTCTTACCCCCACTCCGTGAAGAATCGCATGAACTGGACTTAAGAAACAATTCTAACTTCACATTAACTAAATGCAGAACGGAACGTTTTAAAACTAGTTTTATACCAGCAATGACTGCTAATTTTAATAGTAAATAATTTGTAGTATTTTAACAACTGTATACATATACGATTTATTTATATTTATATTATTTGATATTCATCTTTTATTATGTTTCTGTAAGCATATTGCAATTCACCTTCGGGTGCCAAAATGTGTTTCTTAATAAACCTTTAATAATAATAATAATAATAATAATAATAATAATTGAAGTCCTGTTCAATTCCAGTTCCTGTTCAAATATCTTCACAAAGGACTGACACGACTAACTTCATATATCTCCTTTTTGCCTCACCATCATTGCCTTAAGGTAGCTCGATACTGTTTTATAAAATGGGAAATTTGCGATTTAGATCTGTAGTTTTGGACAAGTATTAGTTGTTAAAAAAGCAAAAGGCATCCTACTTATGTAAAACAACATCTGCAGAGTTTGCTCGGTTTTGTCAGGTTTGGTCAATTTCTGGCTAGCATTTGGTAAATATTGCCAACCCAAATCGCCTAGTTTCCAGTCTTCTCATGTGGAAAAGCGCTGAATATTAAAAATAAGAATAAAAATAAAAGGTCTAGGCTGATTATTATCATGATTATAGACCTTGAGCGAGGGGGATTCGACGAGGCCCGCGAAATATTACCCGAAGTGATGATAAGCCCGAGGGAAATATCATCACTGAGGACAATATTCCGCCGAATCCCCCGAGCGGAGGGTCATGTATTGATATTTATTATATAAAGTATAGTGCTTTATAGAGATTTCGAGCGCTGATAAAAGTGATAATCTCACATGTGAGATTATTCATGATAATCTCACATGTGAAAATTATCGCTTTTCAATTATCGCTTTTCTGTAAAAATTATCGCTTTTCAAAGACTGTCCTTTATATAATAAACAGAAAAATACATGGGTGCTTGGAAATACCATATTTATTTCTCGTATTGAACATGATATCTCACGAGTGAGCGCAGCGAACGAGTGAGATATCATGTTCAACACTCGAAATAAATCTGGTATTTCCGCGCACCCATGTATTATTCTCTTACTATATTATACCGAAAATTAAAAGCCTCCAAGTTGAGAAAATAAAACTTGCCGTGCATATCTTCGTGAATACGAAGACACGATGTTTGAGTATTTGTCACTTTTCTTTCAAATCTCATATCGTTTGGAATATTGATAACATTTTTCAAGATTTGCTTCAAAATCCGGGTGACATGATCAAATATGATTCAAGTCACCCGCTTACGTCTGCGGTGACTGTGACTTACGTAAGGCGCGATTCGATGATAAATTTCATGCTCACGTGGCACAAACACAGCTTTCTGATTGGACATTTTGTATTTGAGGTATAACAATTCATAACATTTCGTTTTGCTCAACAGAAATTTTTTTAAATTAATGTCTATAACAGCACTATTTATTTTAGCATGTATTATGACCCAGTCACATGTCCATGTGGTCACACATTCTGTCAGTGGTGCCTTAACAGATGTCTGGATCATAAACCTGTTTGTCCTGTTTGCAGATATTCAATTAAAGAGGTAAAATAAGTATATAAGGGTATTTCCATGCTAATGGCATGACATTCATAAAAAAGTTTTCAGAAACGTTAAAACAACTACAATCATGGAAATAATATCCGTAGACCTTTTTCAAACGTATATCTTGCCTTATATTTTCTAAAACCATTTTATTTTGTCCATGATCGCTAGAAATAGTAACTCCCTCCCCCAGTACATTATAGTGTTGGTTCAAACCATGATTTTTGGACCACATCACCGCAAGCCAACATTGTATGTCTTGTATAAGGGGGAGAGGAGAAATTTGTGAAATTTTTCAGTAGTCTACGAATTAATTTCCATGACTCAGGGGCATGCATTAAATACTGCTGTTGTGAATGGCTTCGGTATTCTGTTCAATGAATTGTTATTATCCTAGTTGTCAATATATTTACCCCAACACATAAAAAACCCAATATATTTCTCCCAAATCTTTATTCAATTATTTTTACATGCAGAATATGATGTGAACTGAAATCTTCCTAAGAGTAGACACTCCAACAAAAAATTGTAATCTTTCATCAATCATTGTATTGCCAGGCGCCCAGAGAGGGGGTGCGGGAGGGCATTGCCCTGCCCCTTCCTAAGGGGGTAAGGGGGCAACGGTGCCCGTTTTGATTTTAGGGAAATATATGAGTTGTTTTAAAGTAAAAAATCATTATATGTTCGCCGCATGAGCAGAAAAATGTACATAACGTTTCTCGTAGGGGTTGATTTGACTACGCCGATCGCTAATTTTGGTGGTTTCGAAAAAGTTTTACTAGGACGTTTCCGAAAAATATTGTCGACAGAGGGGAAGCGAAATCGAAATTTATGATTATGAACCCGTTGAAAAGTGCCCTCACGTCGTTTCGGCGTCTCTGTCGTTGTTTGAGGCCATATAACGTGTAGGATGATTCATAACGTTTTTAATTTTGCAAAAAAACGAGATGAAGGCTGTTGTTTAATATGTTCCTCCAATACTGCTAACACTTTAGCTAGAAATACCAACGCCATCCGTAACAGTATCCGTATCTGTATACAGTTTAATTAAGAGGAAACTGCCACATGTAACATTACTTACATAATTTAAAATTCACATTATTCTATGCATATAATATGTCAATCATAAATGACTCACATAATTTAAAATTCACATTATTCTATGCACATAATATGTCAATCATAAAGTATGTGAATTCAAAAAATATATACTATGGTTACTACCATATATAATAGTGGCAATTACAATAAAATTTGCGTTCTCATGATCATAATTGAATATCTTAGGACCTTAGGTGTCTACAGGGAGAATCCATTTGCCCAATATACGATAGTAGACATAGTATTTTCACAAATACAGGAAAGCGATATGAGTATACCGACACTTCGGTACTTAATTTGCTGCTCACACCGGAATTGAACGCTATTTCGAGTCAAAATTTGCCTATTAATCACATTTAAAAACCACGGGTAACATGCACGTAATATGGGTCAGTCCTGTTAGGCAAAGCAAAGTTTACGTAACTTAATAACACTGAAATGTTTGTCAATGTTTAGCAGTTTAGTTTGATTTAAAAGATGATGAAAATACCGATATACCGGAAAATACACACCGGTATAATGACGGCGATATAGCGGTATACTGATTTTCTCTAAATAAATTAAATAGCACAGGTGGTATATAGTGTGAAGTTAATTGTTCGTTATCGACCGTTTAACAGTAGGTGTAGACAATAAGATCGACTTCATCTTCCACATATTTTGAGTGACTGATTTCATTCTATCTGCCAAACGTTTGGATACAGCAACTATTCGCAATACCCCCCCCCCCTCCCCATACTCCCGCCATGTTTCCCGTCGTAGTCCCCCAGGCGAAGAAAGACACACTCAAAATCAAGACGAAGAAACTTTAATTTAATATCTCCATTTAAGATAACCATTTAACATAAACATTTTGAAAGTTTGTCCATGTAAGAAAGTAGCATTGTATGTTAGTGACACTGCAGTCACTATATTATCTAACTAATTAATATTTCCTTTTAACTTTGTTTAGTATATTAACAACGAAAAACAGGTATATTATTTTTAACTCACATTAAAAACGATATCTAGAAGTTAATTTAGGTTCAGCCTCTCTTCCATCGGGGAAAAACTTAGTAAATGTACAACTGAATTATTTTTACCAGGTGTTTTCCAATTTTTTGTCAGGTCTAAAAATCAAATAGCGTATTATAGAATTTAGTTAATTTATTATTTCTTGGTTTGTTTCAAAGACAGCTGACCGTATTGTGGTAGTTTTACCGTTTCTGTCTTGTGAAGGAATACATAATTTTTATTTGTTGTAAAAATCAACCAAGATGGCGTCCATTACAAAGCTAGTGAGCTCCATATATATCTGGAGCGAGAACTCGAGTCCAAAAAGTGACGTCATGCAAGATGGCGGAATTGACGTCGAAAAAAAACTAGAATTAGCTGGGAAAAATGACATTAGAACTGTTTACGTTTTCTTAGCTATTGGACGTCAATTCCGCTATCTTGGCTTCACTTCTCTCATAGGCCGAATGACTGAAGTTCTGAGTTCAGTGTGAAAACCACGCTCAATTAACTATGCTTATTTTTCAGGGCATGCTTCATTTTGTCCAGATCGAAACTTGCCGCATATTTGTAGTTTGTACTAACAGGAGGCACTTGATATGTTTTCTAGAATGTGACAGGAAGCATACAAGCTCTTTGTAAGAAATATTTTCGTCAGAAATTTGAAGAACGAAAACACCAACATGAAGAGAAAGTAGCAAAACTTGCAAGGTGAAAATATAAAACAAGTTTAAAGCCGCCGAATCTCGTTAAAAGGTGCTCCATGTATAATTCTCAATTGTGTATTTGAGATACGACGGCATACACTCACTGCATGCAAGTTCTTCTGAGACTGAACGAGTCTGCATAAATTGCTCAAAAATTGATTACGTTCATGAGATTATAAACGACCAACTAAGTAGCATGCTAATTAACAAGCACTGTTTTTGACGTGTGTTAAATACGTATAACTGAAACTTCCCATTACATGTCTCAGTGATTCCCTTTTTGATAAATATAAATTGAAAAATTCTCAGTTCTGCAGCTGAAAGTAGTGAAATTTCAATGTAAATACATAATAGAGTGTATTTAATGTATATAGAAATTTTAAACATTGTTATTATAGGATTTGTGCAAAAACTAGGGGGAAAATGAAAATATCAACTTGTCTATATAACATTGAAAGACTTTTTCTATAAGCATTAATAAACTTTTATAACATTTAGTGTTGCATCAGATACGGACGAGGATATTCCGATATTTGTTTGTACGTTAGCCATTCCCACAGTGCACTGCCGCCTTTATATTTTTGAACCACGATATCGCCTAATGATCCGAGAATGTATGGAGTCTGGATCAAGGCAGTTTGGAATGTGTTGTCCAAGTGACGATAACAGGTAATGTACCTATGTAAGGGTGGTGTAATCTTTACTTACAGTAAGTTGTTTGTTTGTTTGTTTGTTTGTTTGTTTGTTTGTTTGTTTGTTTGTTTGTTTGTTTGTTTGTTTGTTTGTTTGTATGTTTGTTTGTTTGTTTGTTTATTTGTGTTTGTTTGTTTGTTTGTTTGTTTGTTTGTTTGTTTGTTTGTTTGTTTGTTTGTTTGTTTGTTTGTTTGTTTGTTTATTTGTTTGTTTGTTTGTTTGTTTGTTTGTTTGTTTGTTTGTTTGTTTGTTTGTTTGTTTGTTTGTTTGTATATTTTACAGTATCTTATTCTTTCTTATGTTACTTGATTTCAAACATGTTTAGCCCGAGTGTCAGGCCATATTTCCCTTCCTTAAAGCGGGTGAATGAATCCTGTCCAATAACAGCCGTCACTGTAAATTTCGAATGGGGTGTGAACAATAAACTTCTAGGATATGCATAATATACTATAAGTACAGCGTACACCCAGGGTAGCCTCGCAGTAGCTCGGAAGAGTGATTTTCATTGGCTCGATTTGACAACTGCTTTTGTGTATACAACAATGAATTGCTTCGTTCTTTAGAAAACCCCCATCCAATTGGAGACGACCTTCCGAGGCACTGCGAGGCTTCCCTACACCTAGGCCTTCTATTTTTATTTTTTTAATATTCAGCGCTTTTTCACATGAGAAGACTGGGAGGCGGAGGAAGGGCGGAAGATACTTACCAAATGCTAGCCCGAAATTGACCAAACCTGCCAAAGATGCTAGCCCGAAATAGACCAAACCTGCCAAAGATGCTAGCCCAAAATTGACCAAACCTGCCAAAGCCAGCCGAGTGAAGGCCTAGGTCTAGGTTACTATAGGTATAAATCATCGAAATATTTACTATCGTTATCACGCAGTTTTTCCGATTATGGAGTTATGTTGGAAATTGAAGATTTTACTACTTTACTGGCAGATGGCTCGTCGCAAGTTAAGTCAGTGGGAGGAAGACGCTTTAAGGTAATTGAAATGTATAAAGCCAACGGAATTTTTTTATTGTGCATGAGAGGTAGCTATGGTAGACATTTAGTTCTATGTGACAAGTTATATAAGAAGAAGCCTTCTTCCGAAAGGTAACTATGTCTCTTTTTGCGCTTTTTTTCAAATGCTTCAGTCCATAAAAAACAACAACTTTATTATTTTGAGGTAAAACCCATCTCATGTTAAATTTCCGTTTTTGTTTTCTTTAGGTATTATGCCGTGGCACGAAAGATGGTTATAACACAGCAAAAGTTGAATGGCTCAAAGATGAATCATTTTCTGAGGAAGAAACAGGTGAATGATGTCACAAGTTGAATTCCCCAGCTTACACCAGCACAGTTTCTATAACAATACCACTGGGTGTTTTGTGTTCAAATTTATATAAATGTACATCTTATGCACCATGGCTGCTCATGGTGAATGTTACAAGTCATAAAGCGTATATCTTCTCCAATATTTCTCCTGATGTTTAGAGACTATCAGAAACCGTCAGCAGTCCATCTACGCCGATATTGTGGACTGGTTCTCGTCATTGTCCATATTTACAAAGGTATATCGATTTTAGATGTCCTCGAGTGGCAAAGTTGGCGCGATTTTCCACCAACACAGTACGTATACGTGGAAGACAGCAGTGTTTGGACTTATAAGACAAAACAATTGAAAACTCCATAACAAATTTAATAAGCTGAAAACTATCAAGATTTTGGGTAGCTCGTCCGGTATTGCATATATAGACGGAATTTTTGAACGAACATATACGACTTTACACCTAACTGGGAGCAGCTGCGAAGAATGCAACTTTAGGTCCTTTGGCAATTACTAAAGACTCATCTATACGTTCATTAAGTTGAAAACATATACAAAAGTTCCTTGTATGTTTGCATGGCGAAATAGGCATATGTTTGTTTTGTGGAAACACTATTAATATATGAATTAGTGTTTCCACAAAACAAAACAAATAGTTATAATTAATCCTTCTTTCAATTTTTAGATTCAGTTGTTAAATGAAGTGAATATACCATTGCGTCCACCCGAATGTGATTGCGAAAATATTAATAATCGTAATGGACCAAACTGGATCTGGTGGTCACTACATCTTCTTCCCATGCAACCTTCATTAAAGCTTCAAATTATTTCAATGACTGATATAAGACAACGTTTGGATAAAATTGAACATTTCTTTCGCGAAAACTTAATGTAACTAAGTATTAAAATAAGAATGTAACAAAAAATTTTAAAGGTGGCTCTTCAATCTCGTTCCACGAGCCTGCGATCCTCGGGAAGGAACGTGAGGCTCTGGGATAATACGTTGCCGGAAGCCAGAAATCCTGGCTAAGACCGAACTGTGCATTCCATATCAACGGCCAATCAGATTCCTCCCTGAAACGGATTATCCCAGAGCCTCACGTTCCTTCCCGAGGATCGCAGGCTCGGGGAAGGAGATTGACGGCTCCTTAGAGTCCTATAGTCCAGACGGTACCAGACGATACTGTGTTGACACAGGGCTTTGTAAATATTAGAAGCACTTTCGATCAGACGAGGCATTTGTCAATACTGCATGTATTTTGAACATATTATAATTGTGTGTTAAAATGTGGAGAACATTAAAACGTAACCGCTTATAATTTCAGGGAGTTAATTTAACTATACAGTAGAGTTATTTTAAACTTTTAGGTTTAAAATATTTTGCTTAATTAAGAACTACCATTCATGATTCATTGTAAAGTTATTCCTGTCCTTGTTTAACAGAGAAAGTATATCGATCAGAATTAATTAAAACAGGACATTTACACTTAAAATATTATATCCTATTTATATGTAAAAACCATAGTTGAAACTTTTTTCCATCTTTAACTTACCTGACAGAAATTAATTCACATAACTTATTTCATTTACCATTTCATCTGCCAAACATATTCACTAATTACCTTTTGTCAGGACCAGTTGATGTCTTGGTCAAATACTGGAGACAGTTACCGAAATAAAGACAATTACTAAGCTTGTTATGTAAACCCCAGATAGAACATTCTTTACTAGTTATCCAAGAAAGAGCGCACTTTATGGCAGAGAGAAAACAATGGATAACTTCCTCAGGAACATCGTGCGTAGTCCCCAAGTTTTCCAAACACGAAGGTTTGTCTTTTATCTCTGCTGAATCTTCCCAATGTTTGTCTTTGCAGTTGAAGAAACAAGGTAAGAGATGGGCATACGTTGGTTTAACAGGAAGGGAGTCTAAAATTATTTCAAGGAAACAAAATTCTTCAGCATAACGTTGTCGACACCATGCAATGTTAAGCTCATGAACTAGCTCTGCAGACGAAATGAAGCTTGGAGACAGCAACGGAATCACCAAACTTGATGTTTCAAGATAAGACAGGCGTGATGAATTTGTTTCTTCCAAAGATTTCTTAATAATTAATGATTGATTCTGAGATATTAATAACTGACAAAACCATTGACAATATTTCGCATCTTCTTCGGAACATAGAAGGTAAATATCAACATGGTTTGGAATCAGTTTTCGTGATTGTGACGATGGTGGACCTTCACTTTCTTGCAATAACATAATCCCCTTAGTAATAGTTGGTATGAACTGATTCTCAGATGGAATATGCTTACGGACTTGTTCCAAGGTTGTTGTTAATGTAGTAACCTCTTTCTCAACAACACTCGGCAAGTTTGATTCTATATATAAAAAGAATGATAACTCCATAAATAACAATATTAAAACAACATTGATATTAAAATAACTATATTCTTGTTAAGTGCAAGATTTTCTACTCCTGGGATGTAAGGAAATAGCTTCTAATCGTATCAATTGAAGAGCATAATTGCATAAAAATTACTAATTAGTCATACACTTCTATTCTGTTTGCGCAAACGTGGGTTCATCATGGTAATAAGGCATTCAAATTCCAACAAAGGCTTGATTTCAAAGGGTACACTTTTTTTGGACACCTTGTAGAGTGTAGTTCTCATTTTAAATCAGGAGTCAGTGAGCATATGGAGCCATGTACATTCATTTTCGAATGCACAATTATTTTGTTATTTTGATACATCAATTTTTTACGCCAGGGATCGTCAGCCAGATCTGGTAGGGGGAGGTGAAACACTGCCCCCCCCCCCCACCTCGAAGGTGGTCATAAAATCTTTGTAAAACAGGTTAGGTGTGTCAATGTGCCTTAATGTGTCAGAGAAAGAGAAACCTCAAAAAAAAATTGATAACGAAATTGGCACTCCCCCCCCCCCAACCTTGCACCAGTCTTTGCCAATGCGCTAGGGGTGTGCACCCCTCCCCACATCCCCAGTTTATGCATCCATGTTTTACACTGAGTCAACAACGATATCGTACATAAAAAACTAAGTATAATAAATTTTAATTTACCATGGATGTCTTTGAGGATGTTTTTACACAAACCAGTTAAGGTAGAGCATTCCTGTTGATCAGGTCGTTCAAAACATTCAACAGGTGAGATCAACTTCAACCACGGTAAATTATCACTTAACGGTTCAATCACAACCGGCCATAGTCTTGCAGTTCCTTGACATTGTAATGCAATACCCAAACTGAGTTCTTCGATGCAGACTTTTGAACGAAGGTAATGACCTGAGATTAAAGCAACCATCACTTGGGAGCGATCTGAAAAGTAAACCACTAGTTACAGGAATGAACATTGTTCACTTTATTTATAATTTTACCTTTTCCAGCACGAATTTTCCCTTAACAAGTAAAATTTCGTAGCTTGGCCCTGGTGTATATGCACTAAGATTTTTGTTTCGTAGATGGTAATTTCGAGTGTGAATTTTATGCATTTATTATACCTAACCAGGAGCAGTGGCGATAGGCCCTCTAGCAGGAATCGAACTTGCGGGCCCTGCAATTGACCATTTGCGTAATAGATTAAATTTTGATCTCAACAAAAATTTCATCACAGCTTGAAAGAGTATCACAAAATTAGTAATATTCCAAAGTTTCGTTGCGAAATGTTGTAAAATGCGGAAAATATCGCCTTGCGAAGTTTGCAATTTTCAGTCATTTTAGATTACAAATGGGAAATTGACAGCCCCAAACCTCATTAACCTCGATATCTCTAAATTTTCATTTCGGTTATGTCCAGGATGCTACTAATATCACTAAAGGTCATTGCAACATGTTACACTTACCTATAGCTTCATACAATGCTTGTTGCCATGCACCTCCTGCCTTTAGTTCAGCCGTATCAATAAAAATATTTATATCTGGTTGATAAATACGAAGTTCCTTGATCACTCTCTTCGCTATATCTTCATTAAAATGCGAATAGGACAAGAAAACATCATAATGTTGTTCAAGTAGGGACAGTCTGCTCACAATCTCCTGGTCAACGTCAAATGATACTAAACGATCTATCACTGTCGCACACGCTTCAGAAATTTTTTCTTCGTCATGTACCCTATACGAAAATATCAACATCTGATTATCTTTATGTCTCACACGATCTATCACATAATAGTCGGGCAGTTGGGAGGGTGATACCCTGGTTCCAGAGGTTCTTGTGTCGCCGTATTACAAATTGCATAATTTGTACGTCAAGTTGCTTCATGTATAAATCATGTAATTTATAATACGGCGGTACGAGAACCTCTGGAACCAGGGTAGGAGGATGAGTGAGAAGAGCAAAGACAAGATCCCTAGGGAGTGCTGTTTCGCCATCACTTATTGTTCCTTAAAACGTAACTGTGGCGAATCTCTAAGAGGCAAGCTACAGAAACTCCAAAACCGAGCTGCAAGAGTTATTACTGGCGACTCATATGAAATACGCTCCATAGATATTTTAAAGAAACTAGATTGGAAAACGTTAAGTGAAAGAAGGAAGGAGCAACAACTAAAATATGTATCAAAAGCATTTACATGCCAATGTCCCGAGTACATTTCGGACATCTTTAAACTATCTAATTCAGATCGATATGAATTAAGAAAAGTAACAAAAATAAGCTGATGTTGTCGAAGCCAAAAACAAATTCAATGAAACGAACTTTCGGTTATGCTGCTGCTAAAGTTTGGAATGAAAGAAATAAAAACTACTGAATGATTTTTATATAATGGTATCTGGGTGAGGTTGGAGTGACTTTAATAAACTTGTATGTCTTTCTAATATTATTAGGGTGGTTTGGGGAGGGTGGGTGGTAATATCTTATACTGTCTGTAAGTACACGGCCTAATGAAAAGCAACGACAACCTTGTAAATATTTTTTAGTCGATTAGCTACCGTGTTAAAATATGTTTTTAATAATAATAATAATAATAATAATTCATGAGAAGACAAAGGAAATCACTACCGCGTGTCGCATTGGTTTATTTCAACGAGGAATGAAAATAACAGACCATTTAATTCTATATTTCATTTTAATAAAATGGATCAAAATCGTTAAAACAAATAGTGTCTACATTGCAGAAACTAGGGGTGCACCGGATAGTGATTTTTACTATCCGGCCGTATACCGGATTTGCTGGATATCTGAAAAAAATCCGGCTTGATATTTTATCAATTTGAATACTTGACATATAATATATATTATGATTTTTCTCATCCATGTATTAGTGCAGAAGAAGGTGACACTATTTTTTTGAATTTTTCAGTAAATAATCAATTATGGTTAACTAAGAATCTGTTTTTAACTTTTTCCACCGTTCATGTGTTTCAGAAAACTTCCGAAAGTTCTTGAGCGATGGGATTTAGTGCGGCTTTTAGGCCAAACGCTGCGAATAATTAATTCAATTAATTATATCAGTGACTAGCTTTTTCATATGTCCTTTTTTTGGGTTTCTATTTTTTAGTATTTTTTATTTTTCAATTAACGGAAATTCATGAAACAAATTATCCGGTATCTGGCCAGATAATAGTAAATATCCGGCCGGATAGTACGATTTTGTCACTATCCGGCCAGATTATCCGGCCGGATAGTATATCCGGTGCACCCCTAGCAGAAACTATTGAAAATGGTTCCAATTGTATCGCTCTTCAGGACTAATGATGATGTCTGCGTGAAAAAACAATGCGATGTCCCACAGGTCAATGCAAATCGCTGGCGAGCCAATAAATTTCATAAACATTAAGTGTTTTTCCGCGTTTGACGTCATTATAAGAAAGGTCTATTCCGTACCTGCAATCAATGTACTGAGTAATTCCCATATATGTTGGCATGTATGAAACATCAGAGAGATACAATGGAATAAGAAAATTGTGATGTAACTTCCGGCTGAGACATAACGCGATGTTATACTGTTCAGAACAACTTGTTGACTTCAAGTACGCGGGCGTTATTAACGTAATAACACGTTTACAACTTGTTATTGTATCATACAGTTGTTCTTGCCACGATTCGTACATGTCTAGTTCTTGTAATGTTGAAAACACTTTGATGTTTGTCTTGTTTTTCTTTAAACACTCGATAATAAACTCTGTACGTTTCTTATCTTCTTCACAGTATGATAAATAAATATCATACTCGCTCGAACGCTCCTACAACAATGGAATAATAATTTCAAATGAAATTGAAGGATGTTTTCAGCACTTCACCTGGTTGAAACTGAATATTGGGGTCGACGGATAATCCAGGTGACGATATATAGCTATACTGCATACACATTTATACATGTACCTAACCAGCAGTGCGAGTTTTGATAAGTTCAACATTATCATAACCCACACACTCGAAAATCCATATACACAAGAACCTGAATCCATATAAACGCTCACCAACTGCATGGCCCTGTAACTCAGTTGGTTAGAGAGCTGCACCGGAATCGCAGGCCCGCAGATTCGATTCCTGGCAAAGAACCCATGCAGTGTTGTACTTTTCGCAACCGTTCCTGGTTTGGCATAAGAAGTGTATATATATCGTCGCCTGGACTCCAATAGGCAATATTCAATAATTTTATTATTACAGTGTATTTATAGACCAGTTTATGTGGGTTTTCGAGGATAAAATCATGATTGTTTAATTTTACAACTTATTCATGCTGTTATGCGTATTTAAAAAAAACACGTGCATGTGCTTGTAGCTTTCAGATGATTCTCTGAAATCCACAAGCACAGAAGCCCTGGATATGTGAGATCATAGTTAATAGAAAGTTATCTTTCTATGGTGAGATTGAACATGCAATACGCGATGCAAAAGGTGTCTTAGTGAATTCGCTGCGCACTTTTTTTCAAAATACCCGCTGCTAACTGTGAATACACTGTATATGGCTATATGTTCGGAAAATCATCTATATTTTATAGAATTTATTCACAAATTGAGTAACGTCAATAGTAGCACGCTACTGGTCAAAATTCAAGACGAACAACGCACTGTTTATATATTTGCAGTAAAGTTTCAAGACAAACGTTTGCTAATTCTCACACAATTTTCATTCAAATTAAATCAATTTGTCCTTGGGCAATGTCCATTAGCCCACAAATTTTCGTTTTTGAATTATCTGACAGACACACGCATCATTACAAACGCAGGTGAAAACATAACCTCTTCCTGGCGGAGGAAATACAGTTTCCTGAAGGTACTTAGCAGGGTGTTAGCTAGCCAATATACTGTCCGTTTGACGGACTCTTCCCAATTGAAATAGCTAAGGGGCTTTCCCAACTGGGTCTACTGGACGATTTTCATTTTTTCTGATGAGAAAGTGCATTGCATTTGATATTATTATATAAAAAAACGTTTTATTTACTTTTCCCATTAACTATTTTCTCAAAATGTATCGCGTTTCGTTCATATAGGGTGTGTATTCACTGAAATGAAATGTACAAAATAAAGTGTAATCGGTGTGCATCCGTGTTCATTCACCGGAAATGAAATATACAAAACCAAGCTACCGTTGTTTGCATCTGGGAAGAAACACGTTGGAAAAAAACACTATTTATTCCTACACAAAGACTTTGATCGGTCAAAAAAACTTTCCCAATTTACGTTTAACGGACAAAACATTTTTTCTGGCTAACACCCTGCTTAGCCATCATGTCTATAGAGCCTCGTTTCCTTGTTTGAGACATTGAAGTATAACATTCCAAAAAGATACAAAATTAATCAATTTCTTAAAGCCATGCATGGAAAATTGTTTTTAATCATACAACTCGATTTGACTTTAATACAATTTTTCGAGACGGCTGGACAAAACTTTAAAATCAACCAAGATGGCGCCTAATGACACGTAGTGACGTCATGTGCAAGCAAATCGATATAAAATTGTTGAAACTTTTATGAAAGAGCTTGAATTGTTGTTTTTGTTCGCATTTACTACAGTACCCCCTCCCCAAAGGTTAGATGATTTGTTTCGTACCCCCAACTTCCCCCCCCCCCCC